CTATTAAAGACAGCTCGTCAAATAAGTATTTATATTCCTTGGATAGTAAGGTATACTCGCATGCCTCGTTGCATAAGCAACCCTGTAAGGAGCTTCCAATTCCCAATTAAAGACCTTCTCTTTTCTGCGTTACAAAATTCGCTTTATTTCAGCAAGAGAGTGTTCTTCCTCTTGATATCAGCAAATAGGAACAAAATCATGCACCATTTCAAATGAAACTGACAGTATTGCTGGGATCAAGTCATTCGGATAATAAAAAACTTAGCTTGAATGAACATGTTGAAAGTAATACCAGAAAAAAGCTTCGTGGCAGAAGAGGTATTGTGATATTGTGACCTCACATGGTGGATTGGCTTTGCAACAGCGTCTTAAGACACCTACTAATATATGAAGTGCCTGTGTGGTGGGCGCGACTAAAGAAGAAGGAGTACATTAGACCTTTGGAATAGATACAACGTGCCACTGTCCACTTGGTATAGCAGTCGCGATGAGGACAAGTAACACAAATTACGCACGAACCTGCGAGAAAAGGAAATCGAGTAGGGACCACCTGCTTCTTCCATAGAACGGAAGAATGGACAGTAGGAGGGCCCCATAATTCCTATATATGTATATACTGATGGGTCTAAAAGTGAGGCAGGTACAGGAGCAGAGTTCTTCTTCGTACTTAGGGATAACAACTCTGTCTTTTAAGTAGAGATTAAGGATATCACTGTAGTTGCAGCTGCTATAAAGGGCGAATCTAACAGATTTCTAGTTGACAGTCAGCGGCAATTCAGTGCGTAAGAACATCCAAACAAGCAATTGATCGACTATCGCGGGAAAACTTAGAGAATATCATTTGCATTCGACTGCCTGAGACCCTTCATCGGCTTCAAGTGTTGTCTAAGGTAGTGGACCGTGGAGAAAAACTTAAGATATCGGAGCTGTTCCAACGTACGACGTACTACTAACTTATTTTGCACTAACGCCTGAAACATCATCTCCATAAGCTCGGTAAAGTAGAATCGAATGGGTGAAGGCCATGCACAGAGGATGACGAAACCCTTGATCAGTACCTCCGCCGATTGAGAAGACATATCGTCCACGCTGCGCCCTGTGCCAACCTCATGGAAGTAAACACGTTTGGTTGGAACAAACTTAGATATTACGGCCTCTACCCTCCTCCCCTTTCAGCCAGCCATTGCTGACATTATCTTCCGCGAAAATTGATTTGCGTCGACTGTTTATTTCATTTGATGGAAGGTCGGATTGGGCCAATAGTATTCCAGATGTAACAATTCACGCTTACTTAGTCTGAATATCATGAAAGCTCAGTTAGATAGGAATGATGTCTCATCCCTAACGAGGAACATATTACATTAACTCGAGAAAAATGTCGAATAATGATAAACAGAGAGCTCAACTTGGGTCAATGAACTGCCAAAGTTTGTCGTGACCGAGGCATTGATTCGTTGGAAACTAGATTCTTGGAAGAACACAACATTTCCCACTGGAGAAATCTTTCTCCTATTTCAAGCTTCAGTGAGTATTTAACTGACACGATGCCGTGGTATATGACTTCAGAAGCCTCTTGAGTTAGTATTTATTTATGTGCATATATAGACGAGTATAATAAAAAAAAATAAAATAAAAGGACGCACTGCAGCTTTTATGTGGTATTTATCAGCTCAACTGTCATTACAGGAGCTGATGATTCTAGAAGAAACACTAAAATAGGGTGCAGATAGCACCAATGAACGATGCGATGGCGATGCGCAGCCCCACATGCATACTTAGTACATACCTACATATAAACGCCCCATTCATTGGAGAGCAACAACAATTACAATGCCAAAACGCCAAAGCGCCACAAGAGAACAGAAAAGCAAAAAGGACAGCAACCACAACAACAACAACAATAACAGCAGCAGCAGTAGCAAAAAATGATGCAAAAAGTCCTAACAACAACAACGACGACAAAGCAACATTTCTGCAGCCATAAAAGCTGTGTTTAATATGCACATAAACAGAAACAGAAACAAACGAACAGTGGCGGCAAATAAATTAAACTGACATTGCATTGCACTAATTGACACACGGAGGGGGTCGCAAGCGGTGGGAGGTAGGAGGTGGAGCACATACAATAACAACAAGACAAAGATGTTGTGTTTGGTTTTGGTGTCTCTGTGTGGGTGCATCTGTGAACGAAACTTCAAATTGTATATACAAACATACAAACATACATACATTCAGATGTATGTACACGTCGCCGGCAACGATATGTGTTGTTTGTTTGCTGTGTTACGAGTATGTTGCACTAAAATGTGCCACATGCAACGCATACTCATTCATTGTCAAGTGCATCAGCCAACAGAAGTTTGTTGCGCCCCAAGCTGTCTGTCTGTCTGTCGGCGCTGAAGGTGCAGATTCACTGACATACGGACGCATATTCATATACTCGTACATGTGAACATGCATACCTACATATGTATGTGAGCATGCGTTAAATTTATGCATCATTGTCATTGTTTTTGTCGTTCATTGCATGGAAATGAAAGTAAAAGCCAAAGTCTCACTGGTTAATGGCATCTAGCGGTAATTAAATTCTGTGAAATTCTATTGTTCGTTGGGGGAAAAAAATTTAAAAATTCATTGAAATTATTTTTAATGAATTCACATTGTTGAACTCCTAAGAAAATGCATAGATTTGTGCACTCAAACGCACGTATGTATGTATGTATGTGTGTTAGGATGAATTTATTGAAAGTGAAATTGGGAATTCTTTAAAATTTTCATAAATAATTTGTTAATTTATTTTTTAAATATTTTTTTCCTTTTTCCCCAATTAAACTAAAAATTGGAAAAAAATATTATTTAATTTGTATTTAATGAACCATTTTTTTGATTCTGACAAGTATCGGTTTAATTAATTTTCTTTTTAATAATTTCTCTAATTTTCTCAGTTTCTTTATCGAATTTCATTTAATTATTTTATCACGTATTTAAATAAATATTTTTTTAATTAATTTTTAATTATTTTCGTTGTTTAATTCGTATTTATTTTATTATTGGTTAATTTTTATGTATTTGTTGCTTTAACTTTTTTAAGTTAATTTAATAATTTAAATATTTTACTTCAACTTTTTTAGTTTCTATGAATGATTTGGTTAATTAAATTTTAATTAAATACTTTTTTTAATCATCTTAAGTAATTGTTTAATTAATTTTTTTTTTTAATTTTTCTTAAAGAACAATTTACTAATTTTTATTTAATTAAACTTTTACTTTCTTAAATATTCTATATTTCATTTCAACCTTTTTAATTTTCATAAATAAATTGGTTAATTAAATTTAAATAAATTAGTTTCTTTGACTCTCATAAGTAATTGTTTAACTAATTTTTATTTATTTTTCTTTCAATTTTTATAAATGAATAATTTACTAATTTTCATTTAATTAAATTTTTTTTTGCATTTTCATAAGTAAAGCAAAAGTTGAGTTTTATTTAATTTTTTAGACAAAAATTATCTCTTCATTATTAATTAATTTTAAATTAATTTTCTTCTCAGATTTTTCTTAGTAATTGCTTAGTTAATTTTTAAATATTTATATTTATATAAATACTTGATTAATTATTTTCTAATTATTTTTCATAAATCAAGGGTAAATTTTACCATTTCAGCTATTTTTTTAAAGCTTTGTATTTTTTCAATTTTCATAAATAAATGTTAATTTAATATTTATAAATAAATCACAAATTGATTATTATTTAATTGTTTTTTGTTTCACAAATAATCATTCAATTATTTCCCAATTAAAATTTTGTGCAATATCATTATTATTTATTATTTATTTTTATTATTCATTACAATACATTTATTAATTTTTGGTTAATTATTTTCTTAAGCTGATTTTTTGTTTAACATTCTCAAATTTTATTTGAATAATTATTGGAACCTTTTTTTTTTTTTTAATTTAATAATCAGTTTTATTTAGTTTTTTTAATATGTTTAAATGAATTTTAGTAAATTATTTCTTTAATTTGATCATCAGAAATAATTGATTATTTAATTATTTTTGTGGTGAGTTTTTTTCGCTATTGTTTTAGTTTTCGAAAATGATTGAATAATTAAATTTTTTTTAATAATTTAGTTTAAGTTATAGATATTATTGATTAATTATATTTTAGTAATTTATATTTTAGTTTTCGTACAAATCATTAACTAATTTTTATTTCATTATTTTCGATTTTTTAATTATTTAGATTAATTTAGTTTTATTTATTTTTTTATTTTTATAACTTTCAAATATAATTTATTAATTATATTTTATATTTTTAATTGTCAAAACATTAAGTATTTTCTAATTATTTGTTGTTAAATTAATTATTAAATTATGTTTTTTAATTAATAACTTTTTAATTAACATTTTCTAATTAATATGTTTTTATTACTTTTTTTAACTAATTTTTCCTAAAATAGCGTTTAACAAATGTTGTCAGTTTAAGACTTTCTAAAAAAATATTTAGGCTTATTTCTTACTAAGTATTAGGCTTGTTTTCTGAGCGCTCATCATTCATTCAAAAAAGAAAAAAAATTATTTTAATTTAAAATCGTTTTTCAATCAGATTTGATTTGTAGAGATTACAGTCATGGCGTATTTTTTTTATAAATTTATATTCAATCCTGCACTATGAAATATACTCTTCTTAATGCCATATAACATGGAACAATCCTCTCAATTTCGCATGTTTCCTGAATCTCACGATAGATGACATCGACGGCAACATTTCTCAGATATTGAAAATTGCCAATTTCGACTTTTTATCAACTTTATTGTAAAAATATTAGCATTATTTCAATCAATAGAAAATTAAGAAATTTCAATAATAAAAACTATTTCTTTTCAATTCAATATTTTTATTAAAATCTTAGTACTTGATCATCTATTTATTAATGTTTTTTTTAACCAAATAGTATAATCCTTAAATAACTACTCGTCTCTCATTCTCAACTCACCTTGCATAGTGCGACTCCGGTATCCAAACGATCCATGAAATTTTCCGCTTTTATATTTAAATCGGGATAGAGTGTGCTCAACCATTCGGCCAAGTCCTCCTTCATTGCTTCCAAATATTCCTCGCTCGATTTAAATGGCCGATAAGGCCGGGCCTCGAGCATTGCCATTTTTGGAGATTTTCAAAAAGATATGATTTTCACTAACAATTAACTAACACTAACCGAGTGAAGGGATTTTTATTTCAAAAGTTCGCAAGTTTTTATTAAAATATATTTTTTTCTATTATTTTTCGAGTTTTTTTCGTACTTTCTCTTATTTTATTGAAATTCAATTTAAGAGTAAAAAAAAATTATAATTGAATTAAATTAAAATTAACAAAAACAACTGTTCGCTTGTATAATTCATTCGATTGCTAACTACATATGTCGGTATGTATGTCCTTAGGGTTATTCATATATTACGCGAGTTGTAAAATTTATTAAGTTTCGATAAAATGTTATAATTTTTTGTGTACCGTTAGAGTAGTTGTGACTTTTGCTTTGTTATTTGTATTTGTTTCAAATTACTGCCGCCTGGTTGATAATTCACTTTAATTCGTTTATTCTTTGTTTTATTCTGTTGCTTAGTTCTTTGTTCTTTGTCGCACGCTTTACGGTTTGCATTTAAAAATTATTTAGGGGCGTTCACTTCTTGCCATGCATATGTAACTGTAAAGATATAGAAAACAAATAAAAATTAGTTAATTATCAACAGCTATTAAATGTAAGGGATATCATGGCTTTTGGTATTTTTTATATGCACATAGTGGTCTAGTAAAAAGTAATCCATTATTTTCCCTATAATTGGCTTTGGTGAACTGTATCGCGCGTTCTATGCGTGCGATTGGGAAATGGGTACTGAGAGTAGTGTTTGAGCGCACCTGACCTTCATGCGAGCACTGTGTCGATAACCTAGGATCTAAGCATTGCTCAAAAAGCAGTGGGAAACCATTTGAATAATACTGGATACGAAAAGAAGCTCGATGTATTGGTGCCACTTGAGTTAAAGAGAAAAACCCTCATGGACCGAATTTCCATTTCTAAATCGCTGCTGAAGAGCAATAAATAACATCGACATATTTCTGAAGCTGAAGACTGGTGACGTCAAATGGAAACGGTCGGGGTAGAAGGGCGCTGAGCTTGCACTAATGAACTCTAAGCCAGAACTGACTGTCAGTCAGGATTTGTTGAGTGTTTGGTAGGATTGGCAAGTGACGATCGACTATGATTTTCAGCCCTACGACTAAACTATTGAACCGTCTGACGAAATAAATTGCTAAGAAGCGACCAGTTTTGGCCGTTAGAAGAGTAACTGTGTTTTATCAGGACAACACCAGAACACACATAGATCGATGTTGATTCGCCAGAGCTTGGTTGGGAGGTTCTTATAGTCCGGGCCACGCACCAAGTGGTTACCAACTGTTCCTATCTATGGCGAATGATTTGATCGGCGAAGAATTGGCCTCAAGGGAAGCCTGGGAAAACCATTTGTCCCAATTTTTTACCAATAGGGACAAGGAGAGAGTTTAGGAGAGAAGCATAATGGTCGAGTAAAATGGTGCATGTCTTACATAAATCGGATAATTTGAACTGTGTTAAATAAAGTCTTCAATTTCAGACAAAAATAATGGATTACTTCTTACTAGGCCAATATATTTTTCTTTTTAACGTATCTAACTGTTACAAGTGTTTATTTTTATTTTTCTTAATTTGTATGTTTGTGCATTCGCGCTCTGATTGCGAATGCGTTTAGTTGTATTTAATTTTTTTTCTTTTTTATATGCGCAGAAAAACATGTCGAGTCTTAGCTACACCTGTTGGCATGTAGGCATGGAAATAAGGGGAATCATGTCACACGATACTGTCAATGAGTCTCAAATATCATGACCATTAACATTGCGCTAATGAAAAGTTTAGAAAAAAGTTGCATTAAAAATGAATTGGAAAAAATGTGGAAAAATAAAAAAGTGGTGTTACTAATTGGAGGGTTCTGGGCGCCTTAGACCTCCAGTACAATAAAAAAATTATTTATAAAAATTATGATAAATAAAAAAAAAATATGTTATTTTTGTTAAAGCACCTGACAATAATAAATCTTACTTATAAATAAATATCAATTAGCCCTTGATGGGCTAAAACTCTAAAATGACTAGATCGGTTTGGAGAACTTTGAACTTTAAACTTTTTTGGAAGTTAAATGAAAGAAGAGTTGAATCCAGGGAGTGGATCTAGGACCGCCCAATTCAAAGAAAATGGAAGAAGTACCCGGGACCAATTAAAAAATTAGCTCAGCACATTTCATAAAGGACAGACTTATTATGAAAAAACTTTTGAAATTCGGGCAAATTTATTAGCAAAACAATGGCTCGGTACTTTTGACGTATCACGCGCTGCGTCTAAAATTCGGTCGACATAATTGTCCAACAGTTTCGGCAATTTGAGCAACCATGAATCGGTTTTGCACCACGTTTACTCTAACGAATATAGCGCGCATCCTGAAAGACGCCGTACAGTGCGCAACGAAGATGTTGTTTGCTGCAGTGGTAAAGAATATCGAAGAAGATCCGAATAAGTTCATCTTAACTATTGGAGTTGTGCCCATCTACTGTATGGAACATTTTTTCGGAAGGATCTTAGTTTGTAGGCTTATAAAATTCAACTCGTACCAGCCTTGAATACAAACGACCATCACGTGAGTCGGTGAATGAGCCCAAGACGCGACTTCGATATTGCAAGAAAATTTTGTTTGGCCCACTTTTGACTAAATGGGTTCATTAATATATAAAATTGTCGCATCCGGATCAAAGATAACAGACAAAAAATTGCTGAAACGTCGTTACATCCTCAAAAACCCACTGTTTAGTGTGATCTAAGAGCATAGGGAATCGTTGGTCATTTCTGAATGAAGTCGGTCAGAATGTAAAAATCATAGTCAATGCTATAGAGCCAGGATTAATGATGTTTTGGTTGGAGGTTATTAATCTGAGCGTTCTTTGGTTCCAACAAAATGCCATACAGCCAACAGAAGTCTGGCCGACATGATCGTGCGACTTAATGGACTATTTTTTACCGGGCTTATGTGACGACGCTTGTCTACGCAGACACACTCGAAACGATCGACGTTGTAGGGTTTTTATTTTAACTTGAAACCCAAACGCCAAAAAAAAAACACCCTTTATACACTGCCTGGCGTGCTCATGTTAACAAGCAATCAACGGCATTACTCCTCATTCAATTGAGAAAGCTTAATTCCCGATATGGTGAGTTAAGCCGCAAAGTAATAGCGTAAGCATTTAGCAGCTAATCGAGCGTGTGCGTTTGCGGCTTTTGCCATTTTATCGCATAATCTTGTCAGCGTTAATTGTGCAATGCCGAAGCGGTGGAAAATTAAAGAAGGAAGTCCAGACGTTTTAACATTAATTCCATTTTGAAAACATTAGTGGAAATCAAGATGCTTTCCAACGATTATTAATTCGTTTGGTGGTTAACAGCAATTAGTTTATGTAATTAATAAGAACAGAAAGTAAATAAATTCTATAATTTGCGGTTAACCTAACTGCACTTTGACGAATATATCGCTCGATTTAATTTCTTCCAACTATGTGTGTACACATCCGTAAGGTGGGATCTGGGAGGACCATGAAAGATGTGGCGTCTCAAGCGGCTGAAGGTCGGACATTCGCAAGGTAATGTTCCAGCGTTTCGCCATCATCTAGCCTAGCATGCTAGCCTACGGAGATGATATCTCAGGCGTAGCTGCCCCGTTAATACACCCATGATAAGTCTTATTTTGCTTAATGAAAGTAACACCTTGATTTACCTTCACTCCACGCTGCCTTACAATAATTCGGTTGTAGTTGCTAAGGTGGAAGAGTTCCGCGGCCTTAGTGCTTTTCTCTACTCGACTCTACTGCTTGGACAACATTTGAAAGCATCAAAGGCTCTAAGGCATTCGACGACAATGACAATATCGGCAGCGGCGTCAGCACCTTCCAGCTCGTCTGGCTTTCCATTGTCTTCATCACACGTGGGACCCGTCACCCAAGTGATATTCACCGTGATTTCCTGCGAGAGTCTCTTAATTGCCTCTTTGCATGTTTAAAGGCATTGTATTGCCACATTTAATTGTCTCCATTGCTGCTTGGCTGTCTACCAGAAATCTGTTTCTTTCCTGTTAAGGTGGCTGCCAATTTCGCTTTTTCTGTAAGACCCACAATCTTTGCTTTGAATAAAGATTTGTAAATGAGTTAAGCTTGAAACTACCTTGATTATTGAAGTGGTAACAGAAGAAACCTGTCTCACATGTCTGTCTCACATGTAGATCCAGCAGTATGAATATGGATATCTTGAATTTTTCCGATTGGCTTGTCTTCTGCCATTACTTCTCTGATTTGGAAGGATTGGGTACCATCTATCATTTCTCGATCGCATTTCACGTTTAGACCGAGTTCTGATATAATATTCTGAAAGCTATAATATCCTTAACAACTTGGGAACTGGACTCCACTGAGTAGAACGTTTAGGCGGATAGCTGTCAAGGATAACTTCCAGAATATGTGTAGTGGTAGTGCTCTTTCCGCCTGCTGAACCAAGTGGACAGTGGCAAAGGTTTCAAGTGGTACTTTCTCTTTAGCTGCCCACGATACAGGCACTCCATATATTAGTAGGGGTCTTACGACACTGATGTAAAGCCAATGCACCAAGTGAGGTCGTAGGCACCATTTTGGCCCAACAGCTCTTCCGTAGGTATTCCAAATTCTTAGCGAAAATGTTTAAGCTATACTGAGTTTTGAAAAATTTTTAATTAATTTTTATAATTTCAAAGAAAGAATTCGATAATAAAAATGGAAATTTACATACATACATACATATCTATGTAAATATGTATTCCGGAATTACTTGACACGCTTATGCATTTGTATTGCACACTCAATTGAGAAATGTCACAACTCACATTGTCGCAAATATTCAAGAGTCTCAAAAAAGCAGTTGACGCTGTGTAATCGGGGCAACTAATATGGAGACAAGCTGAACGGTATTTTTCCAGTTAAGGAAATTCAAAGAATTTTAGCGTTCATAAGAGATTCGAACTGACCAATAAGGGGGAAAAAACAGTTTTGAAAAATTTTGAGTTGTGACTTTTCTCGATTTAGTGCGCGATATGTACGAGTATGTATGTATGTCGCTAATGAATAAAGATAGAAGAAACTGCGCTTGGAAATTAACATTCGATTTCTCATAATTAACGCTTGGATATTTCACGCTGGACTGCACACGCTTCTGATTACTCAAGTGTTAAATGCCAAAGTAAGTCAGTAAATAAGGCTCATATGTATGTACGGATGTATGTACTCGTGCATCTCCGCGCGTACTGCCTTGACGACCAAACTCCCTTGCATTTTATTAATATATTTATTGGTTGATAAATTTATATTACACATATATATTTATACACATAAATATATATTGATGTATGTATTTTTATATATAAGCGTAAATGTGTTTGTAACTATGTGTGAAGAACCTATGCAACGTCATTATGAATGCCGGAACGGGTGCGCCCTTCAATATGCATCGATGGGAATATTCAAGGCGACTCGCCTTCTATTCAAAGCTCTTCCGCCAATTACGTGCTCTCTCGAGACCGAATAATTCTACGAAAATTCATT